TTTTTTTTTTTTAAGAAGTTACCTTTTGAGGGCGGGTTTGCCTGGCTGGCTCAGTTGGTAGAGTGTACAACTTTTAATCTCAGGGTCGTGAGTTTAAGCCTCACATTGACCATGGAGCCTAATTTAAAAAATAAAAATAAAATAAATTATTCTTTGGAAGAAGACATGCCTATTACCTCCTTTGTGAAAATCAGATTAGGGGTGCCTGGGTGGCTCAGTCGGTTAAGCATCCGACTTTGGCTCAGGTCGTGATCTCGCGGTCCGTGAGTTCGAGCCCCGCGTCAGGCTTTGTGCTGACAGCTAAGAGCCTGGAGCCTGTTTCAGATTCTGTGTCTCCCTCTCTCTCTGACCCTCCCCCGTTCATGCTGTCTCTCCCTGTCTGAAAAATAAATAAAACGTTAAAAAAAAAAAAGAAAATAAGATTAAATGAAGTAAGTATTTAACATAATTTTGAAGGACATTTTGGATTTTATTTTATGCTTCTCTACATAATGTCATTCTATAGATACATTTTTTTCACAATAATTGTTTTTATTATGTGGATTTTTATAACCATAGTTAGGTTCCCTAACACTCAGTGTAACTTGGGAATACTTTCTATATTTTTTTTTCATTAGCTAATTTTAGGGGAGATATTTATTCATGTATGTCTCAGTTCAGGAGAAAACCTGAGATCTTAGAATTAAACCTAGTGAATACAATAAACAGACATGCATTATTTTTAGCAATGAGTATATTGCCTCACTGTATAATTTTAGATCATGAAAATTAGCCCTTGGAGGGAAGATTATTCATTTTCAGGGGATTGGCACATTAGGTGTGCCTTTAGAAAAATAATCTAGGTAATGTGGTAGGTGAATCGGAATGGGACAAGAATGAAGGGAAGAAGACCAGCTAGGAACCTCAACCAGATCAAAGAGGGGGAATGAGTTAGAATAAGAACTAAGCAAACTCAGTATCTATTTATGAATCAGGAAATCTTATTGACCAATTATACTTAGGTAGATTGGGGGAAGGAAGATGTTAATAGTTTCTCCAGGATTTTTGGTTTGTGTTACTGGGGAACCAATCAGGGCAAAAATCATAAATTTCACTTCTAGACATTTTACACACAAGGTACCATTGAGGCTTCTGTATGAAGCAGTGGCTTAAATAGTGGAAATGAAACAGAATCTCAGAGATACAATATTGATCTGGGCTAGAGATACAGCTTTGGAAGTCATTGGTTTATTATTGAAAACAAGTTGACTTTGAAACAGACGAAACTACCTGAGATAGGTTTGTAGCCAAGTACTCTTAAAATACTTTCCTGCAGAAATTTTCCATTGGAACTCTGTGGTTACAAGTTAAACAACTAATGTATAACTATATTCAGGTAGGCTTCAAATAATAAAATCCTTTCAAGCATTTCCATTTGGATCCAATAGAAAGAAATACAAATACTTAAGTTGAAAATATAACACAGGGGCACCTGGGAGGCTCAGTCAATTAAGTGTCTGACTATAGTTCAGGTCATGATCTCATGGTTTGTGAGTTTGAGCCCACGTTGAGCTCTCTGCTGCCAGCGCAAAACCCACTTTGGATCCTCTGTCCCCCCCTCTCTCTGTCCCCACCCCATCCTGTAGTGTGCACACTCTCTGTGCTAGCTCTCTATCTCTTTCCCTCTCTCTCAAAAGTAAATACACATTAAAAAAATAACACAATATACCAAGAGGGGGAAGAACATTTATAAAATATTTGGGAGTATAATTTATTCATTAACATGAGCCCTAACAGGCATAGAAACAAATAGTTGTATAAAATGTTACAAACTCTTGTCAGGAGAGTAGTGGTAAACGCATGGAGAGTAGGGCATTCCAAGCAGAGGGAGAAGTATGAGCAAAGTTATAAAACTATGAAATATCCTACCATGTTCAGAGAATTGTATAAAGTTCAGTGTGGATGAATCTGTGGTTGAATTCAAGATGGAAATAGGAGTATAGTAGGTTCGAACCAGACCAGTAATCAGAGTTAAGTTCCAGATTATGAACTTTCATATAATATAAGGAGTAGTTTGGTTGTTACTATGTTGGCAATGACATTTTAGAATGAATACTTTGCCTTTAATATAGAAGAGAAATCGGAAATTAATTAAGTTAGATATCAGTTTGAGAGTTCTTTTAATTGAGAAAAAAATCATAAAATAAAATTGAAGTATTACAAATGGAAATGAAGCAAACCATCAGAGATAGAAAAGATTTTTGCTGGGGCACCTGGGTGGCTCAGTTGGTTAAGCATCTGACTTCGGCTCACGTCATGATCTCGTGGTTCCTGAGTTTGAGCCCCACATTGAGCTCTGTGCTGTTGGTGCAGTCCTCTGTCTCCCTCTCTCTCTGCCCCTCCCCCCACTCATGAGTGAGCATGCTCTCTGTCTCTCTCTTTCTCTCTCAGAAATAAATGAACATTTAAAGAAAAAATGACTTTTTACAAGAAAAAGGTTTTTTATTTACTACGAACCAAGTTTTTCCAAAGAGTGTCTCACAGCTATGAGAACTGATATAATCCTGCTGTGCCTTAATAGACATAGCTTTCCATATCACCAGTGGTAACTATTTTCAGACTCTTTCTTTTGTTGATTATATCATTCCCTTTCCCCGTGAACAATCATTAACACCAAAGAGAGGTATACAATCAGTAGTAAAAATACACCAAGGACAGAATAAGCCAAATGTTTAGCATTCTGGAAACTGAGCCATGTAAAAGACTGATGAATGAAATGGTGATATTAACCTGCACACACACACACACACACACACACACACACAATCGTGACATAATTAAGATCAGTTATAACTGGTTTATTAAATATGTCTGACTTATTGCAAGTAAGAAAGGCCTCTAGTTTTCCTATACTTTTTGAAATCCTCACATCCTCCTGATCCATGCTGATCAGATGATATCTCAGACAGATCTCAGAGCTTTTCCAGTCTCTTCAATCACAAGGCAGATTCGTTTTAGTATTTAAGAAGTTATGGCTGGGGCGCCTGGGTGGCGCAGTCGGTTAAGCGTCCGACTTCAGCCAGGTCATGATCTCGCGGTCCGTGAGTTCGAGCCCCGCGTCGGGCTCTGGGCTGATGGCTCAGAGCCTGGAGCCTGTTTCCGATTCTGTGTCTCCCTCTCTCTCTGCCCCTCCCCCGTTCATGCTCTGTCTCTCTCTGTCCCAAAAATAAATAAACGTTCAAAAAAAAAAACAAGTTATGGCCAATATATATAAACATTAAAATTCTCATCCACGTTAAGGCTTTATCTAGTCCTTGGCTCAGACCTGTGTGGGACAGGGAATCATTGTGGAGGCCATCTGCTGTTTTCACTTCCTCTCTTATTTGAGGCTGCTGATAGTGGTCCCACCAGGGCTGAGGAGGCACAGGGTGTGGGGTGAAGTCAGCTTCTGGGATGCAGGTGCCTGACTGACACAAGTATAGTCTGATGTTGGGTTGTCCTGCATGGCAGATACAAGTAGGGCTTTTGTGGTCTTCCTCAGGCCCTCGGCTGAAGGCCTTGGATGCCTCAGTGCCTCTGGCTGGACTAAACTCCTCAGGTCGCCATCTGTTGAGGTCTCGCTTCCCATTCAAGTATAGTCTTCCTGAGTATAAACTCCTTTAAAATGGCCATACGTTTTATTCTTTAGAGCCTATATCTCGTTCCCAGAAAACAAGTACCTTTGTTTTAGAATTGGCAAAATTGTGACTTGCTCTCATTTCAGCCCTCTTTCTTGTTGCACTGTTTTCTCTTCATGTTTAGATGTTTTAGGCATTAGCCAAGTACAGTTTCTGTGTGTGAGTCAAGCTCTTTAAGTGACTCTCTTGAGCCTTTCTCACTTAGCTTCAAGTAATGAGAGAAGCTCCAAAGCACCACTTACCTCTCTGTATGGAGGGCTTCTCATTGCTCTCAATTCTTCCACCTGCTCCCTCTACCACTTTTTATGTAGCCTGCAGACGGTAATGAACGAAATACAGGAAAACTTAGTACCTAATATTTGAGTACATGGACAATAGCCAACCTAGAACCTTGGCTTGTGATGTAGAAGTATCTTGTATCACTTTAATGTTTTAAGCCTTTGGGACTTCAAGGATAATTAAGAAAGACTCCCCATCTTGAAGCCAGTGTTATAAAGTAATTGAAAATTACAGAAACCCAGATTTCCAATTGCGTTTTAATATGGAGATCCCTTTATAGAAGAATAAGCTGCTTTAGGGCATTCAGAGTTGTTTTTCATTGGACACCATTTAAGAAAGAGCCAGTGATTAACCTGTTTATATCAGAGTCAGCTTTATGGGTGTTTAATATGTGCATTTGCAGAGTGTTAAAGATTTAGAAGGACCTGCTCTTATTTTAATATTCTTATGTCACCTTCTGGAAATTGTTAATAGATTGTTAATAAGAGATCCTGAATTTTCATTGTGCACTAGGCCCCACAAATTATGTTGCCAATTTTTATTAATATCGTTGTACTATGTGTGTCGGGAGATTAGAATCTAGATGATTGAAAAAGCCCTTCTTTTTACATTTTATCGATATAAAACCATTGTTAATACCAATAAACATTAACAAGTGTATGTGTTTATAAACTATTTAATATGCTTTACAGTTTGTGAATATAATTCACATAGTAAAAACATTAAGATTGAATCACTTTTTACTGATTCTGTAGGTTCTTTGATATTTGTTTTATTTTTACTAGTAACCTTTCTTCCATGAAATAGTGTATGATCAAAATGTGTACAATATTCAAGAATTACTATAAATGTTTGCTTTATTTCTTTAACTTACCACAAAATTGAGAGAGTACAATTACACTTAGAAAAATACTCTTTAAAAGTTATTGCTATATCTTTATAAAATAATTTGGTATTCTGTTAATGTAAGCATCCTTGCTAGAGAAATTCTGAGTGCTGTCTTTTTCCCCCTTTAATGGGATTCAGTATAATTGACTTTCATTTTTATTTATTCTTTCTTGGAAGGGAAACATCTGGGAACAGATTTTACGAATACCCTTCATCTTGGAAATAATTAATGCAGTTCCCTTCATTATCTCAGTAAGTCCTAAAAGCAACTTTAAAATAAATAATTTTGTTATTGGACTTAAGTCTTTAAATCTAAATACTAATATATAATATATTAGTTCCAATAAATGATTTTGGGCTTTGGTTAGAATCATGGTTTTAAAAATAAGTAGTAAAATTAGTTGGATAACTGGATTGTGAAATTAAATGAAAACTAATGAGATTTAGTGCAATAGCAAAATAAAACACTTTTTAGACATATATGCTCTAGATGTGCCATTTAAACAGGTGTGGGTATTATCTAGACAGAGTAGAAATTAATCATTTCACTTCTTGTGTGTATTATGGACTTAAAAAAAAAGAAACTAACAAAAAGCAGAATGAGACCTGTAAATATAGAGAACTGATGCTTGCTGTCAGGGGTGGGGGGGGGTGGTCTGGGCAAATTGCTTGAAGGGGAGTGGGATACAGGCTTCCAATTATGGAATAAATAAATAAATCATGGGAATAAAAAGCACAGTATAAGAAATGCAATCAATGATACTGCAATAGTGATACAACAGGACAGATGATAGCTATACTTAATGGTGAACATAGCTTAATGTATAAACTTGTCAAATCACTAAGTTGTACACCTGAAAGTCATGTAACATTGTGGGTCAACTATACTCAGATTAAAAAAAGATATCAAGCATTTATAAAAGTTTCTCATACTGAGAATATATTTATTTCTAGCTTAAACACAATTATTTTACTATGTTCACTTCTCTTGTTAATAAGAAAGTTGCCAATAGCCAGACAGCTAGCAATTTTTGCTTCTTTACCAAAATACAGTGGAGTACCAATTCTATGAAGATCCTGCTCAGTTGCAGCCCCATAAACACATAACCAGCACTTTCCCATTGCAAAATTAGGTTTCAATCTCCATTTCATAGAGTTATGATAATGTCTGTTGGGAATATGCTTTGCAACACTTTATTTGAGTTTTATTTGGAAAATTATGAAAGTAAGAAAATATTATCTAAAGCAGTTGCTTACTTCTGATAATTATTTTACTTTTAGTGATTTATCTAGAGGAACAACTGGAACGAGATTAAATGACAGGCTACCTAACTATAATCCAATTGAATATGGTTCCCAACGTCAGTTAAAATGTTTGAATCTGAAGAGAGTAAGTGGTAATGTTAAGCAAAAAGAAACCTTCTCTTCTTACTCCTACTTTCCCCCTCAAGCTGTAGGGAAGAGAGAGGCGATGTCTGTTGTAAACTGTCACACTGAAAGATTTAATGGTAGAATTACCATAGTTGTAGCTGATATTCAGTGGGAGCTTATTATTTCCTTTCTGCTTCTACAATAATTCCCAAAGAAGTTTTCCGTAAGAAAGACTTAGATGATAAATGCAAAGATCATATCTTCTCCTCGCATTTCATTAATGAGTTTAAAGTATTTGTCACATTTAAAAAAATTATATGTCCTTTAATCACTTTTTTCCTGTTTTACATTTATTTTCAATTTGCTGGCTATGATTTTTGCTTTGAGATAAAAGTTTAGCTCTGGTTTGTTTTTCAGATCTTCTGGCCCTCCTTAAGGAATCTGTTTGTCCCAGTCTTTCTAAACTGTTGGCTTGCCAAACATGCCTTGGAAAATATGATTGTAAGTATGACAGGGAAGTGCAAATACAAAACTATTTTCAACCCTCCATTATTTCTTAAATCCTTTTGATGCTCAGACTAAACAGAGAGAGATGATTTGAAGTCTTAGTCTTGTACTTCCACACTCTTCCTCCCTATAATAGAAACTCATACTATTGTGATTTATTCAGGTATAACTAAATTTCTAAATGTCTTATTTTTAAACTTCTTTTAAATTAATTTAGTATTTTAGTAATAGTTTCATTTAAATGTTTATGAAAATGAAAAAGTTTTGGTAAAATACCTTCAAATAATGAAAGTGATATGTTGTATTAACATTGAAGCTAATAGACCCTAAGTTTGCTTGTATCCTAATTCAGGATGACAACTTTTTAAATGCCCATATTGCCAAGTCACTGCCTTTGTAAGGCCCTTTGAACTGGTAAACAAAAATCATTCAGATTTTCTAAATATCACCAAACCAAAGCTATCTGCTATTTGGACAACAAATTAACCAATCTTGTGAAGAGGAATAACCTTCCTAGGCAATCTGTTGATATATAATGGGAGTCCTTGTTTTAAGGATTTAGGAGGTGATGTCAAACTGCTCTTTTTTTTAATGTTTATTTATTTTTTGAGAGAGAGAGAGAGAGAGGATGAGCAGGGGAGGGGCAGAGAGAGAAGGACAGAGAGAATCCCAAGCAGGCTCCGCCCTATAGCACAGAGCCTGATGCAGGGCTCAATCTCATGAACCATGAGATCATAATCTGAGCAGAAATCAAGAGTCAGAAGCTTAACTGTCTGAGTCACCCAGGAGCCCCAGATGTCAGACTGTTCTTAGCTGTAGGTTTTCTCACATTCCATAAAAATATGTGAGATTTTGTGAGGTTCTGTATTGAAGCTGGAAACCTTTCATTTAAAGTCATGCTTTTAGATTTTATAGGTTGGGTTGTGAGTGGGATATTAGAGGGAGAAAGAGAAGGAGAAGTAAGAGATTCAGAACTCAAGAGTTGTGCCACGGTTGGATTTTGCTGAAGGCTGACCCTGTGCGGAGGGACTGATTTATAACTATGAGCAAAATGTGTTTACTATAGGCTTCAATATAAGTTAGCCGTGAGACATTTTCTCTTTAGTCATCAATTCTATAAATGCTAATATGAGTCTACTATGTGCCAAGCACTCTGATATGATAGCTAATGATTTAACTTTCTTCATCTTCAAAACAGAACAAAAGTACTTACATTACGGACTTGCAATGAGAATTAAATAAAATCACATATACGTATAAACATATATATGTGTGTGTGTATATATGTATAAAATATTGTATCTGGCACAAACACAGTCAGGGCTCAAGCAGGCCCTGAGCCAGGGCTCAACAAGCAGACTTGTTTTATTTTAAATGTTTTTTTTAAAAAGAAATGAACATGAAATTTTAGCCAAAGGAATATTTGGAATAACATTTAAGTATTCTCAACCAAATGAATGTTTCCAAACATTGAGTAACAACTGGAGTCTCATGAAAATACATGAGCAAACAGTAGTGGAATGTGGCCTGTGAAGTGGTTTGAATAAACATTGGGCTGTCTTATCTGTCCCCCCCCCCCAAAAAAAAAACCCAAAAAACATTTTTTCACTAAATATATTTTGCCCAAATTGTTAATGAAAAAAATACACCATGAAAAAATAAATCTCATTTTACTAATTTGTGTTATTAGTTGGTGGAAAAAAATAACCTAACCATGGGAGGAATCATTAATCAATCATTGCGAGCAAAAGTAGTGCTTTGTAATATTAAGTTAGGATTCATTTTCCACTGTATTTCTATATTTTGCTTCTCCTTTAACTGATTGCTAAATTTTTAGTTTTTCTGCTCATTAACCCTCTGTCAAAAAGAAAGTAAGGAATGAGAGGTAAAATTGTAACCAACTTATTTTTTTTGTTTTCATAACAGTTTTGGTTAAATATGTGGTAGAAGAAGGTAAAGTAATGTTTTGTTGAGATTTTATATTGGTGAATTGATTTATTTCAAGCAATACCGACTTTAAGATGGTTAAAAGTTTATTATAAAATTTTTGAGATGAACAGAAAACTATAAAGTAAATTATGAAAACCTATAAATCTATCAGACTTTATATCCTCCTAATATTTTCTATGAAAAACATGCATACCTATCATATATGAAATTATATGTTCAATTTTGTAATTTGAATTAAAAAAAATTTTAATGTTTATTTTTGAGACAGAGACAGAGCATGAGCAGGGCAGGGACAGAGAGAGAAGGAGACACAGAATCCAAAGCAGGCTCAGCTCCTGAGCTGTTAGCATAGAGCCTGATGAAGGGCTCTAACTCATGAACTGTGAGATCATGACCAGAGCTGAAGTTGGATGCTTAACTGACTGAGTCACCCAGGCGCCCCTTGAATTTTGTTTTTATAGTGCCCAATTTCCTATATCACTAAATACTTTGTTCAAATCATTAAAAAAACTTTTTTAATGTTTATTAAGTTTTGAGAGAGAGAGAGAGCATGAGGGTGGGAGGGGCAGAGAGAGAAGGAGACACAGAATCTGAAGTAGGCTCCAGGCTAATGAGCTATCAGTACAGAGCCCATTGCGTAGCTTGAACTCACAAACGGTGAGATCATGACCTGAGCCGAAGTTGGACACTTTGGTTGGACACCAACTGAGCCACCCAGGCACCCCCTTTTTAAATCGTTTTTAATGGCTGCATCTAAATCTGTTATATAGTTTTGATCAGTTAATCATTTTGTATTGCATATTTTAGTTACTTTAATAGTAATGAACATTTGTTATTTCATATAAGTATTATAATTTTGTAATAAAGGTGAACATACGTAAATATTGATTTTTATCTCTGATTATTTTCATGTGGTCAATTTTTAGAAATTATGTGATTGAATAAGTACTCACTAAATTAATGAATGAATGTATGAAATAAAAAGGACAGGACTGTGACCTATGTTACTAAATCACCTTCAAGACATTTTATAACAAAGTACATAGGCAATATCATATGTGAGTGCTCATATTTTGTATCTTAAACAACACTGGGTATATATTCTTTAATGTCTTTCAAATGGAAAGATTAAAAAGCATATCTTGAATTCAAGTTTATATTAATGAAGTTAAACTTAAAAAATTTTGTTCATTGGCTATTTAGCCTTTGATTTTTATGATAGATTGCCTGGCGTATTTCATGTCATTTTTCGTGATTCAGAGAATGAGATGTGATTGTAGCTTGACCTACTTATTGCTTTCCCCTAAATTGAATATATTGTTTTCTGATCTTTTAAAGTTAGAATTTTCCATAAGAGATCGTGCTTATCATGGAGGGCTGTGGGAGTCAGTGCAACATCTCTGTAGATGTTGGTAAGGCAAGTAACTGAAATTTGGTGCTTTGGTGGTCCCCCATAGTATTATGTTTGTCATATGAATGCTAAGGTAAGTTACATTTAGACCTAGGCAAAAATGAAGATATGTTGCTATATCCATTTAAAGTATATGTATCAAGTGTGCACAAGGTAGCTAAAATATAATACATAGTAATAAATGTAGTGAAACTCATGGATATTTAGTATTTTCAAAATTAAAATATGCTTTTTTTTTGGTTTTATTTTAGAATGATCTGCACAGAGCCATACAGCGTACCCAGTCTGCAATGTTTAATCAAGTTTTGATTTTAATATCTACATTACTATGCCTTATCTTCACTTGGTAAGATTATACATATCATTTTTATTGTTTCATTTAATTATAGTTTTTAAATATTATATATCATTTGAAATGAGTTGGCTAAAATAGATATTCTCTACAAATGTAAAGGATCACCTACAGAATTAAAAGTGAAATCTCTCCTTCAGTCTTACAGAAAAACCAAGAAAGCACGTCTGTCATTTGGTATTGATATTTACTGCAACTTTGACATTTTCCCAAATGCTGTAAACAACCAAATCACAAGAATTTGCACTGCGTGCCATAGTTGTCAAACAAGAAATTTTCTTTCAGACTGCTGACTTGGAGGTGCCCTTATCTTTCTTACAATCTTCAAAGCAGAAACACTGTTGAGAAAACTGTCATTACCCATCACTGTCTCTGCCTGTGCCTTCTCTCCGTGATGTTTCAGTACGCAGTCAGGCAGAAAGCAAGGGCAGATGTCCTGCCAGTGCAATGCAAGACCTGGTTCTTTGCTTTGTTATAGAAAACAGGTATTTCTTTTTCTGGAAAGTCTCACCTTGATGATGATAAAGTAATCCAGTGGGAAATGGTGCTCTGCACATATGGACTCATGTAGATCCTTAGGTGGAGGGAAAAAATGTGAAAATCAACAAATGAGGTAGAATAATATATCAGTTACAGGAGTCTTAAATATTATGTGCAGTGGTGCTCTGTCCTGGATTTGACCTATTCAGAAAGAGAAAAAGCTAATTAGGAAGTACAAAATAAGAAGAATGCCTTCATGTGCTAGTACAACTGAATCAGATATAAATAGAGCTATAGGTGTACGTGTGTAAACATAGGTTGAGATATATAGGCATAGTAATACTTTGTGTCAGTAGTTTGCAGTGCCTATCTCTATTAACTGGATTTAAAATGTTTTATTGCATACTTTATATCTTAAAAAATAAATATATTTTAAGATACTTAATGTCTGTAGATACAAACTCTCTAAACTTGACACAAAGCTATCTTATCATTTAAACCTTTTTTACTGTTCACAAATTGTTTTTATTGTTCACCTCGTAAACACCTACCTGCATAAATATGAAATATTAAGAGTAATGATTTCCCTCTCAAGTCACTAAAAATTCTTAATTTTAAGATAATGACATCATATAAATAGTTTAAGAGGGTTTTTTTGTTTTGTTTGTTTTACCTAAGGAAAAATACTACAAATTAGAATTTTTTTTTACTTATGTACATGTTAATATTTCAAATGCTGAAAAATTGAAGAAAGTAAAGTGATTTAAAAAATATTATTAGAGTCTGTTAAAGTAAAGTTAGTAAAGAAGCAATTGAAATATTAATGCTAAAAAAGGATAAATTATTTTTATATGGTAACGGTTAGTTCAGTACTTTTGTTTTGGAAGCATCCTTATCACAGTGAATCATGCATAGTGGGCTCTCTATTTGCTCTTACTTTCTGCCTATATGTCTATTTCTTGAGTAGTTTTTATTTTCAAAAGAAGCACCTAGCCACTTTCTCACACCAAGGAATGCAGCAGTGCTAGATACAGGGTTTTCATGATGTATATGAAATTGCTGTTATGCAGTTTATTTCTCATTTAAGTCATTTGTTTCACTTTTTATTTTGTTTGAAGTTAGAGTTGCTTTTGTTGGTGTTGATCTTGTGTACTATTGTTTTTAATCACACGTGCATTATCAATGTGCAATGTCATTGTTTTTAATCACTTGTATGTTCATACATTTATATTAACATGTTTCTAAATTATAAAATCTAGAATGGGGAAACTGAAGTTTGATTTCTTTGTGTGTCCTCCTCTAGCCGTACAAGCAAAATGTCATCATAAATCATGACTATCATAGTAAGGTAGAATAAACCTTGTATGAATTCACCATCAAAAGTGCAGTTATGTACAAGAAAAATATAAACAATGTTATATTGGTTATAACACACAAGCTGTTGTAACAAAGTTACACCACACACACTATAAAATATGAATATACACAAAGATTCAGCAGCTTAAACAAAGAGAAATGTTTAAGTAGTCTGTCCAGATGCCTGGGTGGCTCATTTGGTTCAGCATCTGGCTCTTGATTTTGGCTCAGGTCGTGATCTGACAGTTGTGAGATCAAGTCCCGAGTCTATGTGGAGCCTGTTTAAGATTCTGTCTCTCTGTCTCTCTGTGTCTCTCTCTTTCCCTCTTTCTCTCTCTCTCTCTCTCTCTCTCCCTCCCTCCCTCCCTCCCTCCCTCCCTCCCTCTGCCCCTCCCTCCCACCCAAAAGAAAGAAAAAAGAAAGAAATGTTTAAGTAGTCTTTCTAAGAAGGTTACATTAGCTTAATACTGCTGGAGACTAAATTTTCTTGTAACTTGTTTTCTACCATTCCCAAAACATGGTTTCCATTTCATGGCTCAAGATGACTACTCTAGTCTTGCCTATATTCTAACTCCAGCCTGTAGGAAGGAGGAAAAGAAGGAACAACTTGGAAATTGCATGCATAGTTTAGGCAAGAATTTGGTCATATATTCATACACAGATGAAAGGGAGTCTCCAAAATTCTGGTCATGGTGGGAAACAGTATACCAGCTGAATATTGTGCTATCATGGAAAAGCAAAACTGGATACTGTGGAACAATAAGCCATCTCTGGCCCTGATAAGTCATACAAGTCCATATGTGCATCCTTTGTTTAAAACTCTGCTATGTTAGTTTGGAGCCCATGGGCAATTTACTTAATTTACCCAGCCTTTTATGCCACATTATTTATTTATTTATTTAAAAAAATTTTTTTAATGTTTATTTATTTTTGACAGAGAGAGACAGAGCATGAGCGGGGGAGGGGCAGAGAGAGAGGGAGACACAGAATCCGAAGCAGGCTCCAGGCTCTGAGCTGTCAGCACAGAGCCCTATGCAGGGCTCCAACTCACAGACCATGAGATCATGACCTGAGCCGAAGTTGGACGCCCAACCGACTGAGCCACCCAGGCGCCCCTTTATATGCCACATTATTAAATGAGGGTGATATTAATCACCCTGTAAGATTTTTGTTGTGCTTTTTTAAAATGAGGACAAATTAGGTATGTCCTACAATGTCTATCCGAGGATGTGGCATTTGGTGTGAACACTCCAAAATTTCATTTTTTTTTCTACTTCAAATGTCCTCTTTATATACGATGATTGAATTTTGTGAGTGCACAAAAACTAATTTGCTCTAAAATATATAAGCATCGTAACGTATTAATAATAATATAAGACTTAACATGATGCCTAAAATATATATTTATTAGGAAATATGAGAGAATATTTTCCTCCATTATAATGTATTCAGACTTTCTGTGCTTTCTACATTATTTCTAATATCTGTTTCCTCTAGTTAGCTTCACTAAATTAAAAGTAATGGTAGCATCTCCCTCTTTCAGGGTACATTTAATACTTTATACTTTACAAATACGAGTGTGTGTGTGTGTGTGTGTGTGTGTGTGTGTGTGTATACACACACATATATATTATCTATGTATATAATGTTTTGGGTTTTTTTTTTACATTTTGGTGAGATTAGTCTTAATCAGTTGCTGTTACATTATGTCATAGAGCAAGACTGTCAGTGTTTTTCCAAAATCACAATTTTTAATACATAAATTTAAGCCCCTAAAGATTCAACAGCTAATAGTTGGTGAACTGGCTGTGTTGTTCATGAATCTCACAATCTTTAAAATTACCTGTTTGGGGAAGCTGCTATATATATAGTTTTAAAAATGTATCTTCTCTTCATCATTATTAACATTACAAAGAACTATCATTAAGCATCTGTCTACAAGAGACACATGCCAAACTGAAATAAAATTAAGCAGCTGACCCACTGTCTGTAGGGAATGTGCTCAGAATTGTTTTTCCTGTCATTGTAATGGAATTGGACTAATCTTTCCCCACGTCTGCTGTGTACCCCTCTTGATCAATAACGCACACTTCCAAGGCAGCTGGGGATTGTGATTCAGCCTGTGTCTCTGTAACAAAGCAGAGGAAACTGGTACATCGGGAATTAAGTGCATGACTTTAGCTTAATTATCAACATAATCCAACCAATGATAAGAACTCTAATTTATAATGCCTTTGGCATTTCTAATTTTACACTAGTAGATTTATTTTGCACCTACTTTGTTTCAAACTTCAATTTTTTATTTGAATATGTATGTTTGGATATTTTTATATTCTTTCATAGAGCTGTAGCATAAAGAGCTGTATTATGTTAATGGATGTTTCATGTTTTAGTCCAATGAAAACAATTCAGTATACATCCTCAGTCTTACTTCAGGAGAAAATAAATCCATTTATTGTTTAAAAATGTGACCTAGTTAAAATTTTTAACATGCTTACTTAAGTCAGTGCTGAATATTATATATAAGTGATGAGTGAATCGCTAAATTCTACCTGAAACCAATTTTACCATATATGTTAACTGACTAGAATTTAAATTAAAAAAGTATTTGTGATTTTCTTGTGAATGTTTGATTAATACTTACTTTAATGCTCGATGCTGAAGTTCTTGAATTCTGTTTACTGATTTAACTCTTAAGGTAAATAGCCGCGTGGGAGGTGCACAGTCAGAAAATAAGTACTGAAGTTTGGAGAAAGTATTAAACCATGTTCTAATGGTGTTATCACCACTGTGATATTTGGTTACTAGTTTTGTTTGGTCAGATTTGTTTTGCTTCATTACAAGTGAATGACAGAAAGTGCATTTGTCTGAGGATCTAACAGCCCCCAGGTTTGTATTACACTAGAACATATAGAAACCTTTTTGTCCCAACTAAATTTTGCCTAAGTGGGCAGCCAGATGTTAGGCAATTAGGATTTCGACCATCATTGAGTTATGAGGGTAATGTATAGTTATTTTCAGGCATACAAGAACTTACAAAGTTTGCTACCTACATATTATTAAGGAAGTACTACAGAAATGAGACAAAAAAGGATAAAGGAAAAGGAAAAAAATATAGCTTATGAGAATCTGTGGAATATGAAGTTGCAACACCTTGG